TTTGTGTTCACATTCACTAAGTGGATTCCAACTAAATAAAATCTACACACCTTCAGCAGAGCTTACACTTGCTTTCTGAATTCTCATGGTTACTGGCTTATGCTTTGTGTTTGACCTACTATATGTATACAAAGAACATCTTATAAAGCCTCATGTAGCTTTCCAGGCTTGTAAGGGACCATATAATGTAGTAAAAAAGGAGCATAACTTGTACTATAACATCGTGTAATTAAAGTGCTTGCTCCTTAAAACTTTGTCCTTTTTGCAGATCTTCAGGATTTGTTTGAAAAGACAGATCAAGGCATTGATGGAAAGCTATCCTATGAAGATCTCCAAACTCTGGTTGGCTTGGCAATACAAGAGCCACAGAGCTTTAAGGAATTTGATACAGACGGGGATGAAAAATACTCATTACCAGAACTGAGATTAGCTTTAGGTGTATAGCATACATATTTAGCAATGCAGTATTGATGAACTTTACTGTAGCTACTGAAAACTGCAAAAGCTACGTCTGCACTTTGCCCAGCATTCTTCAAATCTTTGGAGCTAACTTTATGTACATGTTGCCACCTTTTTAGTTTGCATTCTTTGGATATATTTAAAGATTTTTAAAGGGTTTTATGTATGGCATAATGTTAGGAAGTTCCTTCAAAATTCCAGGAAGATCATAAACTCAAACTACATTAGGAATAGTCAGCCAACATTTTCTTTCCCTTTAAGGGGCATTCTTGTGTTTAAATTGGAACATGTGTACATATAGACAAACCCATGTTTTATATTTCACATAAATTTGCCTTAAATTAGAGAGCTGCACTTTATATAGAGCCAGAAGAAATCTGTCTTTTAAAGGTAGGCCTTTTCTTCGTGTAAATATTTGAAATTGAATAAATTATGCATATTTTGGGGAGAGGGGGTGTTTTCAGGGCTGCATTGATAACCACGCTGGTTTGTAAAACATAAAAATGCAGGATAGTCTGGAGGCAGAGGGTATTTCAGTTTCCACTTGGATTTTAAATTGCCAGTGCATCCAGGGATGGTGTTTGAGTTCAGACTGAGGCAGATGCAAGGCATGATTTTTCATGCCATCCTACAGAGGACTTTCACTTTAAGAGGCAAGGAGTGAGAAACTTATTGTTTCTTTTTACATCATGAGCCCATCCGAATAATGACATGATTGGGACTAGGTAAGCTAGCAGTTTATGACCCAGTTCAGTGTTTCCTTTTAACTTTGTTGCGTCCGGGGTTATAATTTGTGGGAGGAGGATGGCTGTAAGGGGGGGAAAACTATTGGAACATTTTAATTGACTCTTAGAGTTTAAAGCAACCTTGTCCCCTGAAGCTGCTGCCGGCTGCCATCATGACAAGATAACTTGCAACCCTACCCTCCATATACTTGGCAAGCTTACAAGTGCGATAATGGTCTCCCTGACTGATCATGGGTGTTTATTTTTAACAGGGCTTCTGATATTGTTTCATGTTGTTAGTCTATCCATGACCACGAGCAGTTTGTTTCTAAACAAGCCTCTTTGTGCTGCAGTGTCACCAACAGGATGGGAAAGCCTACAATAAAGAGAACTTGGATGCAGTTTCCTTGCTGCATGAATGTTCACAGTTCTTAGGATCTTAGACGACTGTATATTCTTCTCATTCAAACGGGGACAAAAGGCAGGTGCAGGGTAAGATTGTACTACATATAATTTTTTTATTGATGAGTGCAATATAAATTTTCTTCACTATAGGTATTGCTTTGACCTTGAAACCAATATCCACACTCAGAGAGGAACATACTAATATGTTCATACTATAAATCTAAACTTGAAGACTGCAATATCCAGAAACTTTCTCTGGACCATACAGAAAGGCTTTTGCAAAATGTAGTATCCCGCAGGCCAGATCAGGGACAAATTAGACTTTATACAAATCGTTTCATTGGCCACAAGCAAAATTCATAGCTCATTTTTTGTGGTCATTTGAATATTGATTTAGTGGACTGTGAAATACACTGATGGTCTATCGATATGGGCTGTCTGGAAGTCTGTTCATAGTTAATTTTATGTGACTTTGAATGGGATGTTTATAATTTTTCAAGGAAATATTCTCTGGAAGTATTCAAATCAGTGAAAGGTTTAGCAAAATGGAACCCTTTCCTAGGTTATCTAGTCTGTTTCACCATCACTCTTCTGTCCTGTTTTGGGCATGTTTGCTTTGCTCAACAGGGAGATGCTTTCATTGATGTGAAGTTTTGAAACGCAGTATAACCTGGCTTCTAAGGCAAGTAGAAGTCAACACTCGCTTGTTCTGACCAGTTTCCACACCCCTTTTATACACTTCTGTATAAAATCCCTTAACCAAATAAAATTTCTAGCAATAAAAAATAACCATTCTGGTATTTTATTTGTACATTGTGTATCATAGCTGTATGCCAGAATTTGCACGGTATTTTTGCAAGGTTTATTTGTATGAAACAAAACTTCGGTAAAAGGTAAAACTTAGAATTGTCTATAATCGCAACTTTGAATGTTTTCCCTTGTTGCAGTTTGTTTTAATTTTGCAGGGTTCTTCTACAGTAATGAGAAATCTTACTCAAACAAAACTCTGGAAAGAGTGCATGCATCTCTGATCTCTAGTATTTTTATGTCCTGTATATGGCAGTAGCACTGAATTGATCAATTATTGAGGCACTAAGACATGAGACCATTTTGTAGTGCTGGTTAACCTTGGTTATTGTGCATCTTGGATACATATTGCCATCTCTAAGGTCATTAATTGGCCTTGCCACAAGGTCTGCAGCCTTACTATGATTGTGGAGTGGACATGTACAAGAAATATAACAAACTAGGGTCATTTAAAAGTACAGTGAATTATTGTTTGTTGCTGACTAGTACTTTTTCCATTTAATTTTGGCCCGCAGGCAGCCATCCTAATTTCAAAGTATTGCTCAGCATTCAAATGCTCAAGACTTGTACTGCTTCTCAGTTGCCACTGATGTTATCAATCCATGTGCTGGCCTAGATTGTTAGGTAAGGCACCAGCAGGCTTTTGCTGATCGTCCAAAGCCCTTATCTACACTAGTGTTGACTGGTCAGTGGTAGCGGCAGATCTGTTAAATACTTGCCTAGATTTGCTCTCAGCAGGGTGAGATGACTGGTGGCTGGTCTACATTTGCACCACCTGGCACTAGTGGGAAATAGAGCCACAATTGGTGAGACTTTTTTAATCATGTTCTGTCAGCCATGGGACTTAATGCTTCCCTCCACAACCAGAACAGCTCTTCCAAAATGAAACAGTGGGATAGTTCATGGAAGATACATGGATCCTAAATTCTAGTCTTTCACTGTGGTTAACTCCATGGATTCCAGTGTAGTTACTCTTTACTTACCCTAGAAAGGCTCAACCATGGTCACTAGGATGCGGTACTTAAAGGGAGATGCTGCCACAGAAGTACCAGTGAAACTTTCTTAGACATTGGCTAGTGGAAACCCAAGCAGGAAAGGGTTAAGTCTGAGAAGCAGAGGTGGGTTTACTTTGGGAGAGCGGATGGAGAAGAGGACTTGACAGAGGTCTTGGCAGCAGTGGAAGTTTGAAAAAGGTTGCTTCTAAGCATTGGGAAAGGGACAGGAGAGAAGGTACGTCACTTTATTAAATGGGCTTTTAAAATCATTGACTTTCAATGCTCTTAACTTAGTGATGTAGACTCCTGTTTGAGAATACCTACATGAGAGAAACCTCTGGATGCTCCTGTTAAACTAGTACTAAAGCATTGCACTGGTGTAGCCAATTGCTGTCCAGGATTCTTACACACCCATTTTATAACCTATCCTAGAATTGTAAATAATTACCAAGTTGTTTTGCAGTGATTTTTTTTGAAGTTTTGTTTCCATATATGTTATGTTCTTGCCTGCTAACTTGTTTTTAAACTTAGATTTACTAAACTCAGATTTTTAGACTCAACAGTGTATAAGGACCATTTTGTTAATTTTAGTTTACCTGACCTTTCCTGTACAATAAGTGAAATGTTGGATTTTATTTCAATAAAGTTGGACCTATTTTGGAAATGTACAGAAGCTTTTTAGAGCTGTATATGGAGTAAATTAAAGCTGATTTTAGTTATAGTTCTGCACATGTCATCATGTAACATAACTGTTTAATTTATCTAAATAAAATATTTCATTTTTGTAGTGTGTACTTGAGTAAATCATTTGTGGAATAAACAATACTAGTGATAAGAAGATAAAATTTAAATAAAACCAGTGAGAAGACATTGCAAATTGAGATTAGCTTCACTTTCCCTGATGTTTCAAATGTTCAACTTCAGCACATGGGCACTGATGAAACCTTTTTATTTCATTCAGGGTTCTTATCCCACCCTTGTTGCCATAGTATCAGAGTATCATAGAACCTTCCAGAAGTGCATTAAGCAATGTGACACACATTTATTATGTGTAATTTTTTCCTCCATTTTTCCTCTGTGGGGAAAATTTTGATTTTAATTAGTTTGTATCTGCTGTGTGTGCTATTGAAGGCAAGAACAAAGAATTGCTTTATACTTGGAAAGTGATGATGTTTGAGGCAATTCTTTCATCAGTGTCTTCCATGATTGGGATAAAAAGGAGTTATGAATACTTTAAAAAAAATATGGACAAGTTTCTCTGGATGAAATTAAGCGTTGTCCTTTCGGCTTTTAAACTAGAGGGGGCTGGAAAAAAAGTGTGCTTTTGTTTTTTAAAGGGGCATCTCAAACTTCTAAAACATTCAGGAAATTACCCAAAATGTATGTGGGGAAAATTCTGCTCCAATCTAACATTAACCATGCATATTTTGATGGGCAAACTAATGTCCTAGCCTAAATTGAAGGTTGAGGGAGTTTGAATATCAAGGATTGAACTCCTGGCTGTATTAAAAGTCAATGTCAAAACTCCCTGTGACTTCACTGGAGCCAGGATTTCACCCCTGGTTTATAATGGAACCATGGTTATAACCTTAATTATGAAGAAATTTTCTCCATAATTAAATTAGCAACACAAAACAAGGCTCTAGCATGGATTGCCGCGCTTAACCCCAGCTATGGCTGGGTGGGTACGTGATTTGGGGTGAAAGGATGAAAAACACCAAACCTGTGTGGCTGAATACTTTTTAATTAAACCTCAAAGGGGGGTGGGGAAGGTGTCTGCAGCTCAGTTAATTGGTGGGTTAAGCTCTCAGTTTCTTATTTTGATACAGTGCTTTGGTCAGGGGTCTGGACATGAAAATAAGAGAAGGTGCATTCTCTACTAGTCAGAATGATGTGAAGATGAAAAGCAAACTGTGTGCCAAGCTGAGCAAACGGCTTTTGTGGTGATTTCCTGGGGCACCAAATAGCTGGTTTAACTCTAAGTGGAGATCATAGAATATCAGGGTTGGAAGGGACCTCAGGAGGTCATCTAGTTCAACCCCCTGCTCAAAGCAAGGCCAGTCCCCAATTTTTGCCCCAGATCCCTAAATGGCCCCCTCAAGGAGTGAACTCACAACCCTGGGTTTAGCAGGCCAATGCTCAAACCACTGAGCTATCCCTCCCCCCCTACATATAGGAAGTTGAAATTGGGGTGGTTCAGGTTTAATTCACTCAAAGGGGGAAGTATCTCTACTGCAGACCCTATGTGTCTTGTGAGTAACAAAGAAAACACATTTAAGCTGGCTTTGAAAGTATTCTGGTGACAGTTTGTTTTGTTTGACTTTAAAAATTTTTTCCATGTTTTATTTTGGTTTTCATCACAAGTGATGCAGTCCACTCTGGGTTTGACATGAATTATATCTCACAAGCAGAGTTGCCGTTACTGAGGTGGCATCTCCCATTTCCTAATGTAACGAAGTCAGGAAGAGAGCTGAATGGAACGGTCCTTGATGGAATGGCTGAAAAAGGATAAGAGGTTGAATGATGGAGCAGCGGTGGGAGGCTGGAGAGTGAACGAGCACAAGGCAGTTCCTGAAACGCCAGTTTGTATGAACCCACACCTGTAAGGGAAGGGAAGAAAGCTCCATCCCTGTCTGTGGTGGTCTCTCTGTTCAAGCTTTTGCCATTTTGCTTTGGGCTGGCACTGGACTCGGGAGTGCATACCTCTGCTTTAATCCCATATTGAGCTCTCTTGTTTGCCCAGTGAACTACTGCATTGGGGAAGAATGTTTCGCTCCTCATCAGCTCAACCCATGCTTTTGCACGTTGCTCCCGCTGGATGGCTTTCTTCCAGTGAAAGAAAAACATGGTACTGAATATCAAGATGTAACATAGCCCTAGGCTCGCAAAGTAGAGAGGCAGCCAACCTGAAAAGCAAGAGCAGATGGTAAGCTCTTTGGTGCAGGGATCACATCTATAAATGCATTTCTCCAGCATGAGAAAGTTTGCAAGTTGCAGTGGGGGAGGTTTAGATTGGATATTAGGAAAAACTTTTTCACTAAGAGGGTGGTGAAACACTGGAATGCGTTACCTAGGGAGGTGGTAGAATCTCCTTCCTTAGAGGTTTTTAAGGTCAGGCTTGACAAAGCCCTGGCTGGGATGATTTAACTGGGAATTGGTCCTGCTTCGAGCAGGGGGTTGGACTAGATGACCTTCTGGGGTCCCTTCCAACCCTGATATTCTATGATAGGAGACCTAAGTCTGATAAGGGCCTTTTTGGAGCTATCCTGCTATAAATGCCATGAAGTGTCTGTCAGTCATTTGATTTTTTTTTTTAACCCACTTCCATTAAGTATAGGAGAAAATTTTCCCCTTTTTCCCTTTCTATGTGTGGATCTTGGTGTTCAAGGCTAGGGTTCACGCAATGTCTGAGTGTTAATAAGTCAAATTATATTTTTAGAATAGGGTCCATTTGAATGAACCTAAACTGCAGCTTTAAAACATGTATGTGATTGCCCTGCACAAATGAGCACCAGTTGAAACTGGTGTTGGCCCCTGTCTGTACATTCTTTCTTTGTCTTAAGCTGTTCCTTATTGACTTAAGCTAAGGGTCCACGCAGCCTTTTTTGCAATGGTTTTACTAAGTGTTTTAAGTAACACCTTTAGTTAAACCAACCTAACTCTGTGTTTAGACTTCCCCTGGCTATCTGGAAAGCCAGGTTCAAACCCCAGAAGTGCCAGTTTAGATTGAACATGCAGTTTGTATAAAAGTTTTTAAGAAATCGTTTTAAAAATAAAGACCTGTCCACTCTGTATAATTATAGAAATTGTAGGCCTGGAAGGGACCTCAAGAGGCACCAGTCCATCCGCCCTGCCCTGCCCTGCCCGTGAGGCAGGACCAAGTAAACCCAGACCATTGCTGACAGGTGTTTATCTAACCTGTTCTTTAAAACCTCCAGTGATGGGGGATCCACACCATGGCCATGTGGTATTTTGAGTAAGGGAAGGGCCTGGTCTCTGGCTCAAAAATCTACCCTGTTGTGCAAAAATAGCAATGTTGTTACGATGTAAAATACTTCAGGATCCTTCAGTGAGAAATGTAATGTCAACACCTGGCTTTATAGTTTAGGCACCAGGGAAACAATTGTTTTTGGCTAATTGAAAGAGCTGCTTTCAGTCTGTGAGGGGCATAACTAGTGCATAGCCAGCAGTAAGGAGACACAGATAGTGGGATCTGGTTGATGGGGTAATCACCAGGCAAGTAAAAAGGACCAGTTATGAGCTGGATGCAGGAATTACAGGGTGAACTTCTGGCACGTGTTATGAGGAGCTCAGGCTAGATGAGCATACTGGGTCCTTCGTGCCTTAAAACCTACGGCTGTACTGTTACCAAATGCCTTTTGAACATAGCAAATCTATCTGCAGTCCATAATTAAAGCTAACAAAATCCATAGATGCTTAAAGAACCTAGATTAAAATATTGCCTCTTCAGATAATCACTTGCTAATGTGACCTTCCCAATTTCCGGGGAGCCGGGGCATTTCTTAAAACTTGCCACAAGAGAACAATTGTACGGGCTTAGCAGCGAGATTGCCTTTCACCGTACATAGTAGTCTGCGGGATGGGTGAGTGATCTTATTTGCTAGTCCATTTCACTTACATAATATTATTATTTGAGGTTTCAGAAAAAGAACATCTTAAAGAGGTAATAGAGAACTGATGACTAGTTTTCAGAGGGTAAATATGGTACTCACTGATGGGGATAATCATTGTTTACCCACAGCGTGCTCTTCGAAGAGGTGTGGGTGGTAATCACAGGTCTGTGCTGGTTCCCATCCCCGCTCTGGAGCGGGGAGACAAGGAGGGATTTTGAAGGCACAAACACACTGAGATTACAGCCGCTGCCTTTGCTGTAACAGAACTGCAGTCGCTGAGCATTCTGCGTCTCACAATGAAACAATGGCGGCTGCTACAGCTGCATCAGCAAGAGTTAGAACATCAGCCTAGGGTGTTCAGGGCCCTCCTGGGGCAGAGGGCCTCAATAATATCTGGTGGCATAAAATTAACCCATGTTGTGTCTTGGAAATTTCCCTTTGAAAGGAGTGAAACAGATACTAGAAATGTGACTAAAGCTATGTCTACACTAGAGACTTTACAGCAGCACAGCTGTATCCCTGCAGCTGTGCCACTGTAAGGTCTCTCTGTAGCCGCTCCATGCCAATGGGAGAGAGCTCTCCCATCAGCATAATTTAAGCACCCCCAATGAGCAGCAGTAGTGCTGTCCACACGGGCTGGTGCTTCTCTCGGTGTAACTTGTGGCGAGCAGGGGTGTGTTTTTTCACACCTGACCAACAAGTTTTATCAACAAAACTATAGTGTAGACAAAGCCTTACTCTAGACAAAGCCAGAACTTCCTCCAGCTAGCACCAAAGCCAGGGGCTGATCTATCACTGTAGACACCGCAGAGATTTGGGGTGGTATATTCATAGGCTTGGCAGAATTTGATTTTTGTGTGTGTGTGTATATATATATATATAATTTTGATGGATATCAATGTTTATTTTTAAGCATTTTTTATTTCTATTGATTTAAATTTTCACAGTTGAGGGAAAGGAAGGGGAAGATTATTATTTAATGACAGCAGATGTTGAGATTCTAAAAGTTAAACCTTTACAATGGTTAAAACACAATCTACCAACATCGCATATCAAAATATACGAAGTAAATATCCTCACATCAGTCTCTGTTAAGTTCTAAAGCAGCATTTTGCTTCCTTTGCCTATCTGTACATTTCAATTGTTATCCATGGAAATATTTTTTCTGGGTTTGTGGGTGTGCTGGGGTGAAACTGACGTTCATGGACAGTTATCGATGATGATAATCTAAACCTTCCAAGTCCACTTAGTCAGCATGCCCCTATCCCATCCCTTCCCACCCCACCCTATACACAGATTTAACCTAGCAGAAGTCTCTGGTTTTTTTTTACTGATCATACAGCCACAAGCCTTTACAGCTGAATCTTACAGCCTAGCCTAACCCTGTGGTTTTCAGCCGGGGGGGGATTTTTAGTCCCTCTCCCAAAATCACTCTATCACAGATTCACCATGTGTACTTGGTGGGCTATAGCAGTGGTTCTCAACCTTTCCCAGACTACTGTACCCCTTTCCCAAATCTGATTTATCTTATGTTCTTCTCTTCTTCCCTCCCCCCCACCCCGCAAGTTTCACCTCACTTAAAAACTGCTTGCTCACAAGTTCAGACATAAAAATACAAAAGTGTCACAGCACAGTTACTGAAAAATTGCTGACTTTCTCATTTTTACCATATAATTATAAAATAAAGCCATTGGACTATAAATATTGAACTTACATGTCAGTGTATAGTATATAGAGCACTATGAACATGTCATGGTCTGTATGAAATTTTAGTTTGTACCAACTTTGCTAGTGCTTTTTATATAGCCTGTTGTAAAACTAGGCAAATATCTAGATGAGGTGATGAACCCCCCGGAGACCTCTGCGTACCCCCAGGGGTCCACTTACCCCTGGTTGAGAATCACTGGGCTATAGGATAGTCATGAAGCATGAGGGGACAGGAGGGGTTTTACAGCCCCATGTGCCCTGCACCCACCCAACATCCAGGTGAGGCCCCATAGCCACCTCCTAGAGACATAAGAACGGCCCTACTCGGTCAGACCAAGGGCCCACCCAGCCCAGTGTCCTGTCTTCCGACAGTGGCCAGCGCCAGGGGCCCCAGAGGGAACGAACAGAACAGGGATCATCCAGGGATCCCTCCCCTGTCGCCCATTCCCAGCTTCTGGCAAACAGGGACTAGGGACCCCATCCCTGCCCATCCTGGCTCATGGGTGCCTAAGCTCTGGGCTTCCCATGTGCTGCATAATACAGTTCTCCCCCTTCCAGCCCCTAATCCTCCCCCCCCACCCCCCCACACACACTTCACCCCACCTTCCCCTCCCCTTGTCAACTCCCCCCGCCCCTCCCGGAACCTTTGGTGCCCGGAACCCTGGCGCGGGCAGCGCGGCGGAGCCGGCGGGGTTCGCAGGCGGAGCCGCCGCATGTGGGGCGCCGGGGGGGAGCCGATGGCGGGGGCTCTGCAGCAGGTCTCCGGCCTGTACCGGGGGGCGCTGGCGCTGCGCAGCCGGGCCGTGCTGCGGCCCCTGGGCCTGCTCTCCCCGCCGGCCCGGCTGCTGGCGGTGCCGCGGGGCCCGGCCGCGGGGGGCGAGCCCGGCCTGGAGGAGAACCCCTTCTACGGGCGGTACCGGGACAAGATCCAGGCGCTGCGCAGGTGCGGGGCCGCGGGGGGACCCCTGGGGGAGGGGGCCGCCCGGGGGATGGGGGTCACTGGGATGGAGGGGGCCGCCGAGGGGGGGCAGCCCAGTGGGATGGGGGGGTTACCGGGATGGAGGGGGGCAGCCCAGTGGGATGGGGGGGTTACCGGGATGGAGGGGGGCAGCCCAGGGGGATGGGGGGTCACCGGGATGGAGGGGGGCAGCCCAGGGGGATGGGGGGTCACCGGGATGGAGGGGGGCAGCCCAGGGCGATGGGGGGGTCACCGGGATGGAGGGGGGCCGCCCGGGGGATGGGGGTCACCGGGATGGAGGGGGGCAGCCCAGGGGGATGGGGGGGTCACCGGGATGGAGGGGGGCTGCCCGGGGGATGGGGGTCACCGGGATGGAGGGGGGCAGCCCAGGGGGATGGGGGGTCACCGGGATGGAGGGGGGCAGCCCAGGGGGATGGGGGGTCACCGGGATGGAGGGGGGGCAGCCCAGGGGGATGGGGGGTCACCGGGATGGAGGGGGGCAGCCCAGGGGGATGGGGGGTCACCGGGATGGAGGGGGGGCCGCCCGGGGGATGGGGGTCACCGGGATGGAGGGGGGCAGCCCAGGGGGATGGGGGGTCACCGGGATGGAGGGGGGGGCATCCCAGGGGGATGGGGGGTCACCGGGATGGAGGGGGGGCCGCCCAGGGGGATGGGGGGTCACCGGGATGGAGGGGGGCCGCCCGGGGGATGGGGGGTCACCGGGATGGAGGGGGGCAGCCCAGGGGGATGGGGGGTCACCGGGATGGAGGGGG